TACCCGTGACCCATGAATCTACGGCAAAGTATACGCACTTGTCAGACATGGTTTTGAAAACTTTGAGAGACAAATTAAAGACTGTCGAATTATTTATAATCGATGAAGTATCCATGATTTCGAATGTGACACTTATGTTTATCAATCTAAGATTATATGAAATCTTTGATACGACAGATACAGATGATGGTTTCTTTAGCAGAAAACACATTCTTCTATTTGGAGACTTGTTGCAGCTTCCCCCTGTTATTAGTTATATATCAAAAAATTTTTTACATCAGATGTAGTTTGCACCAGATGTAGTACGCTTTAGTTTACTGAAAAATATGATATACTTGCATTACTAGGAAGCTACCCCGTATATCTGTACTCTGAAAAGTAGGTGATCCTACTTTTGTAGGTTATCCTAAAAAAAATCAAAAATGAAAAGTTCAGGCCATGTTAAAAAAAAATCCTCAAAAATTTAAACCTTTAAAAATTTAAATGATTATCTAAAATAATATATTACCATGCAAAGTAACTGATATATATTATTAAAATAAAGGTGCCAGTTCAAAATGAACATACATAAAGTGTATATTATCTAAATTTAATAATATATTACCATGAAAAATAATTGATATGTTGTTCAAGGTGCAAGTTCAAAATGAAAATACATACATAATTATAAGTAAAACAGATTACAATTTGATTCTAGAAAATAAGTGCGATATGTTACTCTTAGTGCACAAAATATAAAAATCGTTTATTGAGATTTGATTTGAAATTTATACTAGAACAATGAAAAATAATTGCTTGTAATTCCAGAGTACCAATTTGTTAATGACTCGGAAAAAGAACATGGCGGCCTGCTCTCAAAAAAATTTCGAGGGATGGAATAAATAATTGAAATAAAAAAGTTATGAAAATGGTTTAGATTAAAAAAAGCCTCTCATCTTCCTTTAGTAAAATTTCGAATTTTTATATCAACTTCCGATTTTGAGTTTGTTTATGCCGTATTTTCAGTGAGTAATTTACTGAAAAAAACGTTGCCTTATTGCCTGAAACAAATAAATATTAAGTAAACCCAAAATTCATAAATAAGTTCTCAGGTCAAGTAGAAAGAAGCTATACAATTAAAGAATTTACTGATTATTTGACGTAATATATATTCACTTCGTCATAGAGCTTTTGGAATATGGTTCTAATGTAATACTTTTCGTATTTCAAGTGTTGTAATAATTACTCTGTAAAAGCTTCGACATTATTTCTAAGTGGACACCGAGAAATTCATGAAAGTTTTTAGAGATTAGGCCGCCATGTTCTTTTTCCGAGTCATTAACAAATTGGTACTCTGGAATTACAAGCAATTATTTTTCATTGTACGGGCTAGTATAAATTTCAAATCAAAAATCTCAATAAACGATTTTTATATTTTGTGTGCACTAAGAATAACATATCGCACTTATTTTCTAGAATCAAATTGTAATCTGTTTTACTTATATGTATGTATTTTCATTTTGAACTTGCACCTTGAACAACATCAATTATTTTTCATGGTAATATATTATTAAATTTAGATAATATACACTTTATATATGTTCATTTTAAACTGGCATCTTTATTTTAATAATATATCAGTTACTTTGCATAGTAATATATTATTTTAGATAATCATTTAAATTTTTAAAGGTTTAAATTTTTGAGGATCTTTTTTTGAACATGGCCTGAACTTTTTATAATAATGAATATATTTATACATTCCTCTTTCTTTTGTAAACTTTTTAGTGTAATAAAAATAATAATAATGATGATGCAAAAACAATTAAAGTATTAAAGGGATAATTTTGACATTATTGTATAAAAAATCAAATTTGGAGAAATGTATTATAAAAAAAATTGTTCATACACACACAATTATGTATAATTCTATATATAATTAAGGGGATGGAATAAAGGTGTAATTGTAAAATCTTGATATTAATAAAAATTAAAATAACTTGCTACTTTTTTTATTATACACAAATGAGATACAGTATCGAACGAATTTATGTAATGTCTTTAAGAAGCTACATGTTACAATACTTTTCTATTACGATCAATATTATGAAAAAGCTAATTGCTAGAAAAAGAGCCGAAGTAGAATTGTGCTTTTATTCCGTCCATCCCCTCAATTATGTATGAGCAATTGTTTTACATTTCTCTAAGCTTGATTTTTTCAAAAACAAATAGTGCGAAAATTTTGCTTTTAATTATTTTTAATGTTTTCACATTTTTATTATTATTATTTCTATTACACTAAAAAGTAATTTTACAAAAGAAAAAAGGACGAACGTGCATAGATATATTATGAACATAAATATATTTCATATTCAATTATATGTTTATGAATATTTATACATGTTTATGTATGTTTGTACATATTTATTCGTGCATGAAAAATTTTTTATGGAGATTTTTATGTATACAAAATTAAGAGTGTTTTAATTTCTATTTATTTTTTATCTCAATAAGTTGCGTATAATTAATGAAAGAGAAACATACAATAATTAAAGAGTTAATAAAATCTAAAATTTAGTAAAAATATTTTCTTGTAGAATTTTTTTGGGGAAAAATTAATTATTGGTAAATATCTGATTGAAAGGTGTATTAAAAGTTTAATGCATGTAAGAATTATCTTTTGAAATGTTGATTCTGTGAAGTATTGTTTTAATTTGAAACTTATATATATTTGTATGTTACAGAATCAACGCTGCATGTGCAGTAGCGCTACATAGCAGATATATAACTCCACTGTTACGTATCGAGTAAGTGAATGATGAATTAAATTTTTTATTGAGATATGATATACGTGTGATGGCATATAATATGTAAAATCTTGTACCGATTTTTAATTACGCAAATATGGCTATAAATAGCTAAAAGGATCTTACTTACAAATAACTATAATTAATATAATATTTAATTTAACTACTCGACAACTTTTTAGTTACGCTGAACAAATCCTAAATGATGCTATTAAAAATTTATTGGGTAATAAATATTGTGATATTGATTTGTAATAATTTAATCGATAAATAAAATATTTTACAATATTATATAATTTTGCATAAATAATACGAAATATACGACGCGTCATTGGTTGATAATGTTCACGATTGCACCTATATTTCACGTCTCACTTACCAAACACGCGTGATATTTCTTCATTTTGTTAATTTGATGTATTGACATCATTAATAATAATAATAATTAAAATTAAATTAATATCGCGGATAATAATAACAAGAAACAATCAATATATACTTGGAGAATGCATACTAAGATAATTGTATGCTCTGGCTGCGCCAAAAAATATAGAAATAAATAGAAACGAATGTCACATTGCTAAATAGATACATTGTTAATAGATGTAGAATGCCGCATATTTGAAAATTTCGAAGAATTTCCCAAGTATAATGCTTGTCAATACCAGCTAGTAAATACATTAACATACTTTAACAACGCGCATTAGTGACAGGAAATAAAATTTATAAAACTGCACGAGAGCGTAATTTGTAATATTTCGAAACACGAAACTAGAATAAAATAAAGTGAATCATTCGTACATAAAGTACATTTCCCGAGCGCTTTGATAAAAACGTCAAAAAGAAAATCATCCTAACTAGATTAACACTCGGTAAACACCATCCAGTCTTACATAAATTGGTTTTGACATATATGTATAATCATTATACGCAAATCGAAGAAAGGAACAATTAATGCCACTATCGCCGATACATTATTTCAAGAGTTAGACTCATGTACATTGATTAAATACATTGATATAATATACATACATAATACAGCGTTCGATGAAAAAATACAATTGCAATTGCGGAAAAGATCAATTATATCTGCCGACACTCGACAATAACAATAGAAATGTTCAAAGTTACACGTGTATAACAAATGCTTATTCAAACAGCTTTTTAGCATAGTGCCAAATACGGAAAAAGTACTCATCTTTCCTAAGTAATCTTGCTCTTGCGTATGAATGTATATCGGCATCCATATTATGTTCTCTCAACCATGAACTTGTGTTTTCTGTGCTAAAGCTGATCGATGCGGTCTCACCTTTGTCCATAGCGTCTGCAATTGGTTCCACGTACGACAGTTCTGCCAAAGGAACAGATTTAATGATTAAACTTTTAAGTTTAAATTCAAGTTTGAAGGATGAATGTTATGATAATGAAAAGATTATTACAATAAGGAAGGAAGCCGTATCCGGTCAAAGCGCAGGTTGGCTTTAATAACTGTGTGAATTTTTACAATTTCCAGTTCAAGCAAACTGTGCGCGCCCAATATTTGACGATCTTAAAACAATTCTAAAACTGAAACTAAAGTAATTAATATCACAATTAAATTGACATGCGATGTTTACAGTGTTTTAAAGGTGCTTGCTCATTATAGTATCAGAATTATTAAATTGCTTGTCAATTTAATTGTGATATTAATTACTCCAGTTTTAGGATTGTTCTAATTACTTCAGTTTTAGGACTGGTTTAAGGTTAACAAATATTCGCACGTAGTTTGCTTGAACTGATAACTGTAAAAATTCACATATTATAGATTCCTAATAGTAAAGACGTTTTGTTCTAGTTCAGAGACATCCTGTAGATCAAATACTCATTATGTTCTACTACATTCATCTACACAATCTACAGGATATGGAAATCGGTAATCTTGAAGACTATCTGTAGTCCATCTGTAATCTTAATTGGGACAATTCTATTCTTACCCATACAGCATATATCTATAAGAGACGCCCCCCCCTCCCGGATGGCCTCTTTTGAATAAAGTATGAATTTGCAAGATTGAAATATTTCGCAAAATATTATATTCATTAGCTTCAGTGGTATAAAAATACATTTGTGTCTTGCATTAAGTGCATTAAGTGCATGCGAAAGTCATGTACAAATAATTATGATACGTCTGTGTGCGTTGATTATATAGACTTGGTTATATAGAGAACTTGACTAAATTTTATATGCGAGAAATGATGCCATCTATCGGCAGTTCTAGAATATCAGAAAAACCTAAAAGTAAATCCTCAAAATTACTGACAGATATCTTTAGGACTTCGGATTAGAATGTTAATTGCTATTTAGGACATTTTTAGACGTTTATTTGCTAGGTCTCAGGACGTTCTGAAATTTTCAACTTAAAGATTCTAAACACATTCCACATATGTTCCAAAATATTTAGGACATATTCCATATTCATCCTGACAATATCTCATGCTATTAGGAGTATTATTTAAGCACAAAGACTCATTTTGATTTCGATCCTTGCTTATTATTTTGGAAGATTTTCTGATCGATTTTAACTTATTATTGTTTAAAAAGATATAAATAACTGCGGTATCAAGTTAGAGAAAGATAGAAATGAAAGTAATGATAGAATCGTACCTGATGTCGGTACGATCTTAAAGGGTTCTTCCGATTCCAAATGATCGCTAAATCCGATCTCATTTCGTGCGAAGATTCTTACGAGATATTCGTGATTCTCTTGCAGATCTCTAATATTCAATTTTTGGATGTCCGCGCTAACTCTTCCCACTTCCATCCACATAGTTTTCTTCGCGTCTCTAATAGCAATTTTGTAACCCTCGAGAGATGCACCGCCGTCTGATTCGGGTCTACCCCATTCGATTACAATTGTATTCGCCGCAATCTGTCTCATCTCTAATGGAGCAGTAGGTGGTGATGGAACATCTACAAATAATTCAAAAAGCATATTGTATAAATTGCTTAGAACATATATTACTGGAAGAGAAATTGCCTATGCTGGCTCCATATATGTAATACTCCTATATTGCTAACGCCAATTAAAAGCTGGCGAAAACACCACAGTGCAGACGAATATCTACCTCTCACTTAGACCGGTATTCATAGTCGGATCTTATATTTAAAACGATCTTAAGTACAGTCTTAAGATGTCATGAACCAATCAGAGGGCCGCATTAGCGACTTAAGATATTACTTAAGACGGTCTTAAAATAAGAACCGACTATGAATATCAGCTTTAGATAGTGTACAGCGCATGCGCACCACACTCAAATACACTGTGGAAGTAAGAGATCCAATATTCCCTATCTCGCTGTCTTTGCATATCCCCAATTGCCAAAAAGAGGCTGCGTTAGCAATATAGTAGTATTACATGTATGACTGGCTCGTCGGAGATGAAGCTAACATCTGTGCGAGAGAGAAAGGTAGAGAATCCCAAATGTTCGCAATGCACATGCGCAGCACCACGCAGCACTGTCGTCTTACACATCTGTGTAATGTACGAATGTGTAAGAAACCAACTGTACAATTCACACAGATGACGGTGCGCATGCGCATTGCGAACATTTAGGACTCTAGCTTTTTCTCTCGTAAAGATGTTGGCTTCATATTCAACGCGCCCTATTCCTCTTCCAGTAGTACATGTTCTAAGATAAATTATTACTTTACTATTAGTATATACGATAATTTGATAATAGTATCTAGTATATATATAATATACATATATATATATATATAAATTAGCTTACTGGCATGAGTTTTTAGCGTGATCGGCTCGGAATTAGTAGGTATGCTAAGACCTAAACTATTTTCAGCAAAGATTCTAAAGAGGAATTCGCTTTCTTTTAGGTTCTCTATACAATATTGGTGTGTTGTAGCATCCAAAGTGACAACTTTCGACCACCTGGCGCCTTTTCCGATTAATGGTCTCTTCTCAATTACGTAACCTGTAGCGAGAGTAAAATAATATTAAATCAATATCGAAATGAAAAATCCATTTTATAAAAGTTTATATTTTATTTGCACGCATATTCTCACCTGTCAATTCCGATCCTCCTGTTGTAGTTGGTGGTGACCAACTGAGAGTGACGCTCTTGCTAGTGACATTTGTCGCTCGGACGTTTAGCGGGCAAGAAGGTGGTGCTAAAGAAAATTTAAATTATTATTTGCTCAATATACACACATGTCTTGCTATATTAGAATTCATATAAAGTTATGTTTTACAACTATCAGTGAAATCGATTGGATGCATTAATACGCATTGATGCACATTAAAGCCATGGTACACAAATCGATGTAAAAATGTACACGGAAAAAACAGTATGGTTGGTCTACACAGAAATCTAATAATGCCAACCAGATTAAATAGTAAAATATGGAGCAACTATTTATGTGGTTGCTTGAACCATAGTACAATGATTAGGTTAGATTACCAGGTATGTAAATATGAAACCGGAATTTTTTTATAGAAAATACACGTTTATTGCATGAAAATGATAAAAAATATTTTATTCGAAGTATTGCCCATCGCTAACTATACATTTTTCCCACCTGTCTGACAATTTGTGGATGCCACGCCAAAAAAATTGTTGCTCTTTTGAGCCAAACCAGTCATCTAGCCATTTTCGTACATCTTCGTAAGAAGTGAAGCGCTGCTGAGCAAGTGCGTGTCCCATCGATGCAAATAAGTAGTAATCGGAAGGAGCCAAGTCTGATGAGTAAGCCGCATGCGAAAGTATTTCCCAACCAAACGCCTCAATCGTTTCCTTGACCAGTTTTGCTGTGTGTGATGGTGCATTATCATGAAGCAAAATCACTTTGTGTTGCCTTTTTTGATATTCCGGTCGTTTTTCACATAAAGCTTGATTCAAATTGATCATTTGTTGTCGGTAGCGTTCAGTATTAACGGTTTCGCCAGATTTTAGTAGCTCATAATAGATCACACCTTTCTGATCCCACCAAATACATTGTCTTCCGTCCATAGCGATTTGGCCTTGTAGTCGATGTCGATGGTTCGCCTGGAGTTACCCATGATCTTTTACGCTTAGGATTCTCAAAATATATCCACTTTTCATCGCCAGTCACAATTCGATGGAGAAATGACTTTCTTTTGTACCTGGCAAGCAGCATTTCGCAAGTGGTTTTTCGGTTATTTAACCCATTTAATCCTACAGTTCCATTTTTGGAGCGGTGAACATGATTGACCGGTGGAAGTGGGAAAAGCTGAGAGTGTTAACATCTCAGTTGTTTGGAGTTTTGTCGAATGTTGACTGCTCATTGATTTCCAAAATTAGACTTTCCTCCAAAGTCTTCATTTATACATATATAGATTTGTTCGCGTCGCATACTCCAACACGTTCCAATATACTCTTATTCACTCCAACGCGCTTGATAGAGTGAGTAGGAGCTATGGTAGGAGCATGTTGGAGCACGTTGGATCTTGCGACGCGAACAAACCTTATATAATGTAAAAAGAGAAATTTGTTGACTTGTTTCTATAGTTATTCTCTCGAGGTCTCTCAACGTTACAATATTCTCGAAGTATGCGAAACTTCAGGCTCTCTCTCTCTTTTATTTTTTTATTTGTACATGGATAAAACAGTATGGTTGGTCTACACAGAAATCTAGTGATGCCAACCAGATTAAATAGTAAAATATAGTAACTATTTATGTGATTGCTTGAACCATAGTACAATGGTTAGGTTAGATTATGTTGCAGCAATGACGGATTTCACATATACATATTTTTAATTGTAAGCGTGGTGAGTCGCTTTTGCTTTTTGAAATTATAACTTAATTTATAGCATGATGTAACAAGAAATTAATTCTTATTAATAATTTAATTCCTATTACATCATGCTTTATAATGTCACGAATGAACGCAAACTATACGGATATATAACTTATCTATAGTAAATGATCCTCCAATCAAGTTTTGGTTACCACAACCAGATCATGCCTAACTACATTGGTCGCGTTCAGCAGACTCAACTGTTGCGGAGCGGATCAGTGAGCTCTCGCTGCTATTGGATGATCTAAAAGAATACACCAATAGCAGCGGGCGTTCATGGATCCGCTCCACAACAGTTGAGTCTGCTGAACGCGATCATTGGTCGCTAACCCCGAGAAACAAAACGAACAATACTGATTTCAGAAATGTTGCACCAAAATGGCCGAAGTGTACAATTAATATAAATATCTATATATATAATACTAAAATATCTATATACTAAATTCTTATACACTTTATTGGGTGGGGCACGTTGCGATTAACTACCAACCACTCACAACTTGTACAACAGAAAAACCCTAGACACCGACCGGCTATGAGTGGCTGATGGTCAATCGCAACGTGGTTAAACGAATCCCACCCCACTTTATTGTATTGCTTTATATTTCATTATTCGAGATATTTGCATAAAATATGTATTGGATATTTCATTATTCGAGATATTTGCATTTCATTTTTACTCTCAGATTAGATCAGTATACAATAGATTAGATCAGTATACAATAGATTAGATCAGTATACAGTATACAAACGGTAAATTATATTTAATATATACCAATACGCACTAATGCGTCTAATCAAATTTGTTAATAGAAAATGCAAGGATAAGATACAATTCAAGAACAGGACATGAAGAACAAAAACAAGAAACTTACTCTTAATGGCGATTGTTTTGGTTGATGGAAATATGCCTAGTAGCGCGTATATGCTATTTTCAGTAAGCTTTATTAATTCTAAGCAAAAGCAATTGCATTTATTATTAAGCTAGTTATATTGGGTATTAATAATAATTGAAAATCATTAATATGATTATACATTTAAAAAATAATTAGTAAACTTACTCGGCTGTTTACCGGTTGTAATCACTTCTTCTGCTGTATACGGAGGACCAGTACCAACGTTATTTTTAGCTATAATTCTGAAATTGTACGATGTGTCCGGTTTTAAATCGGATACTGTAACATTAGTGACTTCCCCCTTTGTATTCGCAATCTAAGAAAGCATTAAAGATAAAGAAATGATTGTCTTAGTGCTGTGAACAATTAGTGTCTTAGTGCACAGATAACGTGAATCGTACTAACTCTTTGCCAAGTTTTCTTAGATGTCTCTTTTATTTCGATAATGTATTCTATAATAGGAGTCCCGCCATCATTCTTTGGTGGTTCCCATTTTAATGTGAATGATGTTTTTGTCATTCCAAAAACTTCGAGTGGTCCTCTCGGTGGGCCTGGTATTTCTAATTATTGAACAAATAAAATATATGTACATTTAAATATTTTATAAAGTTATATTTAATTTTTTTAGCATTCTTCTTTAATATTTAAAATACACAAAAAAAACATTTTTTTTTACCGAATGAAGTTCTTGTTCGAATTGGTTCGGATTCCAAAGGATCTGAGGATCCGACCGAGTTTCTAGCAACTATTCTGAATAGGTAGTCGACATCTTGCTGCAATTTCTGCGCACAGAAATTCTCAACTTCTTTGTCGACATCACCTACTTTTGTCCAAACTTTCTTATTCATTTCGCATTTCTCGATGGTATATCTTTCCAATTCAACACCACCATCATCGATCGGCGGTCGCCATTCTATGGTAACGCGATCTTGTCTAATTTCTTTTGCGATAACTGGTCCCTGGGGTTTGCTTGGTTTATCTGCAATACATATTAAATATGTACATCACTAATTTTAGATTTACTTCAAAACTTTCATTATTGTTTGATCAATATGAAAAGTTATCAACCTATAACACGAAGATGACATTCCATCGATGAGCTACCGGCTTCGTTCAATGCTTTCACTGTATAGATAGCTGTATCATTTCTAACAAGCGAAGAAATCATAATAATAGATGTATTTTCCTTAGTTTCAATGGAAATGCGCTTATCAATTATTGTCTTGTTATTTATCGTCCATGTTACTTCCGGTTTTGGGAAACCACTGAAATGAATCTCGGCTTTCCATTTATCACCTACTGTTAATCTCTGCTTTCGTAAATTTTCGTCGCAAGTGATCTTTGGAGATTCTTGAATTTTTAATTGACATGATGTTTCCGCCGTTCCTGCGTCATTTTGAGCTTTAACCGTAAATGTAGCCGAAGATATCTCAGTGGTTTTTCGAATAGTGTATTTAGCTACATGGTTCTCATATGTAATATCATTATTTTCGAAAGCCTCATCATCTTTCAACCTAGAAAATGATTTTCAAAATACATCTCGAGCACAGCAATTGACATATATTTAGTTGCCGCAATTAGATAAAAAATGAAATGGTGAAAAATTACCATGTAATACGAGGTGTTGGTACACCACCAATTACGCAAGAAAGTGTGACAGTCTCTTCTAATCCAATGACGATACTTTTAAGTGCTTCAAGAACGGTCGGTGGCTCTGATGCTGATAACTTGGAAATTCTTAGATATGGCGTATTCAGCGATGCCTCCCCTGGTCCAGCTTCGTTAACAGCTGTTACACGGAAGGTATATTCCTTGTCGGTGATTAAGTTGGTTAATTTATATGTAGTTTCGATTATTGTCTCCGTGATTCTGCTCCATCTTGAAATTAAATTATTTTCTTGATTATAAATCAAATTGTAGAGATATAAGGAAACACACATGTTTAGATTTTTTGTTTTTTTCTTTAACAAGTCCACAAAATTTTATATTACTTACAAAGTTTCTGTCTTTTCTCGATATTCTAAAATGTATTCTATGATCGAGGAGTGTCCATCTATATCTGGTTTCTTCCAATGAAGAGTAATGCTGTCATCGGTTATTTCAAGAGGTTCCGGAATTCCTGGTGCACCGGGTACCTCTGTAATATGTATATATACCTTTTTTTAGTATTGTACTTATTTTTAATGAAAAATCGAGGTTTTCCTCCGAAAATTATTCTGATTATTATATCGATATAATAATCAGAATAATTTATGTATATTACATATTTACACACACGCGCGCGTTTGTGTGTGTGTAAATACGTAATATACAGAGTGTCATTAACCGATTAAATCACCCATCGTGAGCAGGTAGAGTGAATCGAACTGAGTCGAAAAGTCTTCTACTATTTCGCAATTTTCGCAATAGTCAACAAGATATTAATTACTAAAAATGGCCGAATATTGGTCTTCAATAATTTTTTTCTCAAATACTATCAATTTTACAAAAAACTATAAGAGATAAAAATTGTTTATTTTCTTCTCATAGAACTTTAAGAATTTTTTCAGAATTTTTTTTTATTAACTTTTTAGTACTGCATTTTCTTATTTTTATCATGAGAAAATACGGTATTAAAAAATTCTGAAAAAATTCTCAGAATTTTATGAAAAAAAAAATAAACAATTTTTGTCTCTTACAGCTTTTTTTATAAAGTTGATAGTATTTGAGAAAAACATTATTGAAGACCAATATTCGGCCATTTTTAGTAATTAATATCTTGTTAACTATTGCGAAAATTGCGAAATGGTAGAGGATTTTTCGACTCAGTTCGGTTCATTCTACCTGCTTACGATGAATGATTTAATCGGTTAATGACATCCTGTATAAATATACAATATATATGTAAATATGTAAATACTTACGCACAATAATGACGTTGATTTCTATACTGTCCTCTCCATGTGAATTAATTAATTTTAGATTATAATCACCACAATCTTTCTCTTGTACGTCTCTGATTATTAAGATGGCTGAACATTCATCAATGGATGGAATAATTCGTTTAGATTTTTTAAGAATACGGCCATTGACGATCCACTCATCAATTGGAATTGGCTTAGCCGCGAATTTGACAACGATATCGATGTCATCGCCTTTCATCGTTTTGTATTTTTTAAGCGTATCAGGATGAATTTTAGGCGATGTTTCAATAACTGCAATAAACGCATATAGATGAAATAATATCCAAATTATTACAGACAATAAAGAAAAGAATGAAGAATAATAGAGAATTCGATTGGACGCTCTTAGTACGTATTAGCCCTGGTAAAAAAGTTGATAGAGAACGATAGAAAAATCCTGTCGTTTTGAATATAGAATCTGATTCATGAATTCACTAATTTGAATCAGATCTTGTAGGAATCTTATATGAATCTTATAGAATCCGATAAAATGAAATAGGATTCATATCCGATCAATCGTTATGCTCGCGAGGTCGACGATAGAAAACGATGTAAATTGATGGAAATCCTATCGTTTTCAATCGTTCTCTATCAATTTTTTTTACCAGGGAGTGCATATTAAAACATACACAAATTGACATAAAGATTTGTGTTTACTATAAATATAGAAACCGTGAAATATACTCAATACACTTTATTGTGCTGTTAGATAAAATGTATTTTATAATTTGAAATATTTGCATTTTACTTTTACACTCAGATTAAATCAGTGTACAGTGCGGAGCATTAATTCGCTGGGTCATAGTAATGGCTGGACTTATAGACGCTGAGTCGGTAATGCTCAAAGCGTGCGCGCACGCTTAAAAAGAGTCAAACTGTGGAAATTTATTGCATTTTTTTCCTGTTGTGTGCGTATAAAATTATATATTCCTACAGAAATGCATGAATTATATCTCCGTTTATGTTTACACTGTTTTTTATATCTATATAAATTTATGATTTATGTATTATATATTATAAATTATATATTGCACAAATAAGTATACATATAACATAACAGAGATAAACATATATAAAGAAATGTAAAAGATAAAGGAATGGATTATTGCAATCTATAATATTTATGGAAAATACCGAGTATATTTTCAAAAAATTTTAAGGGACTTGTATGAATACTTCTCATATTAATATTAATCGAAATTAGCCCGATATGAATAAGTCCAATAAGAAAGAAAGAATTCTATCTTTGATCGAAACAGGTCTTATTCCTTAATATTTAATTTATTAAATTTTATTACCGACTCAGCGTCGGTAAGTCCAGTCACTACTATGACCCAACGAATTAATGCTCCGCACTGTACAATGGCTTCATATGCACCAGTGCCTTCAATCGAATTCGCCATAATACTATTGAAAATATCTCACGCACGCACGCACACCCACACGCACACAAGACTTATTTTAAGTTAATTATATATGTTTAAAGAAAATACAATACGCAATCTTATAAAATTTACCTTCGATTTTTAGTCTCGATGATGTTTTCACATTAGCAACTGCAGCAGTATATTCAGCAATATCTTCGGTCGTGCACTTTCTAACAATAAGCTTTTTAATATTTCCTTCGTCGATAACATTATATTTCGACGATTGTGCACAATCGATCGTTTCATTTTTCCTATACAAATTTCACATAATTTATTATATGTATATATTATACACATTTGTTTCAAGTTTATTAATCATAATTGTCAAAGAAATTAACTTTTTTAAATATATTTTTTATCTCGATAAAATTTAACTTACTTTAACCATGTTACTGGTACATCGGCACGTGATAATTCGATAAGAAAAGTTGCCTCAGTGTTGAAAGGCACTAAAGTAATATCTGGTAATTTTTTAATAAAATCTACTTCGGATTCTTCGACTGTCAATCTAGCTGACGAAGTTTGATCGCCAACTTGACAAGAGTAGATTCCTGCATCTTCTACTTCAGTGTCGTAAATTTTCAATTTCTGTCTTTTGCCATCGATTGATAATCGCACGTGCTCAGAAAATTGCAATTCTTGTCCGTCTTTGAACCAGCGTACCAAAGCATCACCTTTCGTTAATTCTATGTCGAAAGTTGCTTTCTCTCCTGTAGCTATAGTTATGTCCTGCATTTTGATAATGATCTCCGGTGGTAATTCGACAACTGTAACTTCCGCTGTACACTCTTGATCTAGAAGAGCGCATGTGTATTCGCCTTCGTCGTGAACCGATGTGTTTCTGATGAAAAGTTTCCTTATAGTACCATCTTTCATAAATTCTAGTTTTCCTTTGCTTGGTGTTAAGAATTCGCCATCTTTTCGCCATGTGACATCGGCCGTTTGAGATGTGATCTCAACCTCTAAAATCGCTACATCGCGTTCCTTTACCTCAAAGTCCTGCAATTTCTTGACAAATTCTGGCTTGGTAGCCTTAACGATAACGTTGCTAAACGTCATTTGGTTCTTGACAGTACATTTGTATGTTCCTGCGTCGGAAAGACTACTCTTCTTAATAAGTAACTTGTGTAAATGTCCTTCTTGAATTATCTCGCGATGATCCATCCCGCTAATTTCTTTGTCATTGTGCCACCATATCGTAGAAACAGTATGGGATGTCTCACAGCTCAATTCTAGAGTTTTGTATTCGTTGACTATGATTTCATTTTGCAAGTTCCTTGTGAAAAAAACTTTGGCAACATCTACTGTGACTTTTGCACCATGAGAAGCTTTTCCAACTGGATTACTAGCGACACATTTATAATCTCCAGCATCGACTTCAGAGTCTGCATTTTTAATTTCAAGTAGGATGTTCTCACCATCATAACTTTCTATGATATTGACCGATTTATCAAGCGGTTTGTTGTTTCTAAGCCAAGTAACTTCGGGAACGGGATTACCAATAACTTTGGCAACTAACTTAAAAGTACCTTTTTCCGGAACGATTACCTCTTGGAAACGTTTGGTGAATAATGGTGGTTCTAGAGCGCCACTTGGTACTTCTGAATTTCATAAATATAACAGAAGCATTACAACAAAGAATCCATTTTATATGCAAAATTATAATTGTATTAAACAATTAGCAGCATAGCAATAATAAATACATATAATAAATATCATACCCTTAACAAACGAGATACACTTGTCGTTTACACAATGTTGAAAGTTAATGTTGACTTGTGATATGGGGTTAACTGAAAGCATATTAGTAAAGAAGCGCTTTGTAAAATAGCATCCGACTACAAGCTGACATATTTTATCGTCTAAGAAGACATTAAAATAAAAAACGCAATTTAGTTTCTTTCAGTTTATATTTCATTTACATCTATTAGCTGGTAGCAAATGTCAATTGTCGAAAAGGTGAATGAATTAATATAATGAAAAAGCAGACATAGCGAGAATAAAAAGGCACACATTTTCCATAAACCGTGAGACTTACCGCAAGAATCAAAGTTGAAAGTTTAAAAAGAATAATCTTACATTTTTGATAATTCTTGATTATGATTGGCTAAGCCAATCAAAAGCGGATCTATAATAGGTTTTTAAGCTTTAAGCCATAAAAAAATGGACGAATCACAGTCAATTATTCTCCTCGTATTCGACTGTAATTGGTCAATTTCTTATGGCTTAAAGCCTAAAACATCTATTGTAGATACGAACTAATTCTTATGATACGTCTTACGATTAAGGCCTGCAAAACACAGATCTTTGCATAAAGTCATAATGCATCTTTTTAGAGTGCATTTGGGGAGACGCTATTAGCGCTGTTTGTGTCATTCTGTCTTCATCATTCATTGAACAGACACAAAACAAGGAAAGAATAACACAAATAGCTAATAGCGTCTTCCTGAACGCACCCTTAGCCCTATTGCTTGTGGCCGAACGCGATGACTTAATTTTCTCATAAGCCTGTGGTGCGCATGCATATGCTGGTTGTATATAGTCATATGGAATCTATAGTTTAACGTCGATTTCGAACGACGAAATTTTGTTAAGGAAGTGTTTTTAGCAAAGATATTCTCGATGGGTTGCCGCTTCCTTTTACGAGAGAAAACACGAGCATATAAAAATATTTTGGTTCTCTACCGGGAATCTCTAGCACAGCAGATCAGTGTGCTGTCTGTTTTGCCACGCTCACTCTCAAAGCATAATGCATAAAGTATAAGAAAATCAATTAAGAGTATATCCACACAAACTTGCATAGCCGCATAAACGTATGCATAAAGAAAATTATTCAATCGCATTTCTCCTATAAAGACGCACGTAAATTGTGATTGGATAATTTTCTTTATGCATACGTTTATGCGGCTATGCAAGTTGTGTGGATATACCCTAATCAGAATCTCTTATGTCATAGAAAGGAAGGAAATGAAGGACTTTGATTGGTTCATTTTCTTATGCATTATATATTATGTGTTATGCAAGATTCTGTGCTTTCGTCTTGTTACGAAAAGTATGTGCGTGACAGCCTTGTGGCATACAAAAAACGTAAGGCAATAAAATGTAAGCAATAAGTAATCACAATAGAGAATGTATGATAAGGTCAACAGTAGCAAATACAAAATGTTGATTTGTTTGTTGTTCATTTCTTACTGCTTACGTTTCTTGTGTGCCTTAAAGCGAAACATTAAAATGTCGCAATGCGAAGAAGTAATTGATCTTACTCTCAACAGTTAATGTAGCCCGAGTCTCAGCTTTGCCCATATCATTGATAGCTGTAACCGAATATTCCCCACTATCTGCTAATTGAGGTTGGATCAAGTTTAATGTATTAATATGTCCGTCTTGCTTTAATTGCGGGCCCTTTAACGGCTTCCCGTCTTTGTACCATATTATTTTTGGTGATGGATTACCGACTATTTGAGTCGATAAGATAACAGTCTCACCTTCTTTAACTATATGGGATTGTAACGGTTCTAAAATTTCGGGTGGTTCGCTCTTTTCAGTTTTCACCTGTTCCATCAGAAAATGTATTAATCATACTATGTGTAATGTGTAAAAATGAATTTATAAATGTATAATAATATCATTTTTAGACCGTGTATGTGAGAGACACAATCGATAAATTAGAGCCCTATACGGTGGAAGCTAGATCTTAAAATATTTAAATAATTCAATCTTGAATCACTAAATATAATATATATATATATACTTATATATACGAAATATTTCCGGACTAAACACAATTAAACCACTATAGTAATTTCGCGAATTAAATTAAATTCTAATAATTTCGATGATCAATCAGGCATCATATTTCGAAGATGTTAATATGCTGAAAAAACTATTAATTAAACTTATTGCGAAAAATATTACCTCGGCCGGGAGTTGAACCCGGATTTCTTGTATTCCGTACAACTGAGCCATTAGACCATCGAGGCCTTAGTAATATTCTTCGCAATAATCGGTATATATAAGGATACAATGTCATACTCGGGGCGACGAATGAACAATATCATTTTTAGACCGTGTATGTGAGAGACACAACCGATAAATTAGAGCCTTATACGGTCGAAGCTAGATCTTAAAATGCTTAAATAATTCAATCTTGAATCACTAAATATGATATATATGTACTTGACATACATACCACAATTGTAGTTTAACGAACTGTACAAGTGTACATACACCGAAATATTTCCGAATATATACGAGGGCAAATCAATAAGTACCTGTGTTTGAAGACAGATGACGTTGCTGATGCAAGTTGGCATTACCATCATATACTACCATCTTTCAAATGACGCCATACAAAATTTCAGAGTGATTCATGCAATAGTCTTGATTTGACAGCAATTCGTAGTGAGAGTGTTGAATGTTTTTCGATACAATGGAAAAAGAACAATATCGATCCGTGATTCACTTTTTATTTTTGGATGGAAAAACGTGCGAAGAAATAAAAACGAAGTTGGATGCCGTCTATGGGAATCCTTCACCATCTATGACAACCGTCAGATATTGGTCTGTTTTTGATGAGGAGCGCCCAGGCCGCCCGGCAGACGTGGTTAAGCTTGCGGCACACGATGCTTGTTTTTCTGCTGGATTCCTAGCTAGATTAGAATCTTGCCAATGGCTACGTTCAGCAACCTCAACTTGTTTCCAACATGTTGCGACAACCGTTGAGTGAGCGGTTACCAATTGCTGAACGATTCTATTCTCTTAAGTCATGTGACTTATATCATCTATTTACCGTGGTATGACTGTTTATTTAGGTTAATTTGTCATTTTCGTTGTTTGTATTGTTCTTTCGGTGTGAACATGGATTTATTACATTTGATATTAATTGCTGCCGACGATGCGGATGATGTGAGAGGTATAGAATTACAGAGAAATATCATAAACTTCATAGCAAAGGAATTGGACGAACCATTGCGAAATAATTTGTTACAAAATGAACGTAGAATGCGATCAAAGAATGAACATTATTATGAAGTAATTGTACCACGGTACAACGATTATGTATTTAAAGAACATTTTAGAATGTCTAGAGTCACATTTGAGGTTATGGGCGTATTCCTCAACACGTTGAGCTCAGGTAGCGGTCTTAAAATATGATGGAAAAAATGGCGTCCGCTCAGTAAACACGTTGCGTATTGGACACTGACAACAGCGCGTTCAGCAGCTTTTCACTGAACTGTTGTGCAACCGTTGCTCTTGCTGAACGTAGCCATTGTATTGGCTACGGTACTGACAGTGACTGCATCATAGCCAATACGGTTGCAAAAATTTATTCTAGCTAGCAATACAAGAAAACAAGCATCGTGTGCCACCGGCTTTACTGAGGAAATCGTTGAAAAAGTCGGTAAGTGTTAAGAAAACCCCGCCAGTTTCATATTTCGATAAAAATAGACTCAATCGATGCGTTTTTGCATGAAACGAATGAATCTGTCAAAAATAAGCGTCACTCTGCCCCGCGAACCGAGATATTTAGCGTTAAAGTTCACGACCGTTTAGGTTAGGAAATCTGTCATACCGACTCGATATAAGCGCTATAAGTATGCTTTTTTATGTTCTGTAACTTAATGCGCATGCGTTTAGTCACTATTCCGTACAATAGAGTGCGCGAAATTTAAAATCAAATTAAAAAATGAATTAGTTACTCGTGCAATGTTTCTATTATACATAGTTATATTCCAAATAAATCATAAACCATGTGGACAGTGGAATGTGTAGACACTAATGCTTGGGTTCGGGGCGGCTTTGCCGCCCCGAACAAAAAAAGTAACATATCCTATCCGCGTGGAACCTAACCCTAACCGCGTAAAAGTTACAGCCTAGACAAAGTCCGCTTGGAATATTCCTAACCCATGAAGACAGTGGGATGTGAGAACAGTCTTTTTAAAAGCACTATCCTCACATCTCCAATTCATGAGTTAGGAATATTCCAAGCGAACTCTGTCTAGGCTGTAACTTCTACGCGTTAGGTTCCACGCTGGTAGGATATGTTATTTTTTTTTTGTTCGGGGCGGCTTTGCCGCCCCGAACCCAAGCATTGCTGTCTATATACTCCACTGTCCACATGGGTTATGATATTGGACATATACCATGACAGATATTTGTGTTTTTAAAGTAGTACTTATATTTTAAAGCATGATTTTTTGTATTTTAGGAGCAGTACTTTTGTGTTGAAACATATTATGTTACATATAAATATTAAAGCCTTTAATAAAATATATAAAATATATTGAAACATTAAATATAAATAATATTATATGGAAGTGTGTAATATTATATGAAACAAGTGAATATTTCGAATTTCATGCACTATTGGACCCAAGAATCGCTAAACGCATGCGCATTAAGTCACAGAGCATGAAAAAGGCATACTTATAGCGCTTATATCGAGTCGGTATGACAGATTTCCTAACCTGAACGGTCGTGAACTTTAACGCTAAATATCTCGGTTCGCAGGGCAGAGATGCTTATTTCTGCCAGATTCGTTCGTTTCATGCAAAAACGCATCGATTGAGTCTATTTTTATCGAAATTTGAGAATGGTGGGGTCTTTTTAACGTTTACCAAAAAGTCCACGACATGATTCTCACTGATCTCCGAACGAAAGTGCATGAAGTAACAGAGGCCATAGGCATGTCGTATGGAACGGCATTCAATATTTTGCATGATAATTTAGGAATGAAAAAGCTGTCGGCTCGATGGGTGCCGCGATTGCTCACGATGGACAACAAGCAAATGTGGCTATCAATTTCAAAGCAATGTTTGGAGCTGTTCAAGCGCAATTCGAAGGAGTTTTTGCGTCGAGTAATCGTTGATGAAACATGGATTCATTACTACACACCGGAGACCAAGGTACAGTCAAAACAGTGGATTTCACCCGGCGAACGTGCTCCAAAAAAGGCCAAGACGGTCCCATCGGCCGGAAAAGTGATGGCCACTGTTTTTTGGAATGCGCAAGGCGTAATCTTCATCGATTACATGGGGAAAAGCAAAACTATCACGGGGCAGTACTATGCTGATTTATTGGACCGATTCAATGTTGAATTGAAGAAATAATGCCCCTATTTAGCGAAAAAAAAGTGTTGTTCCATCAGGACAATGCACCGACTCACTCCTCCGCAGTCGCCACAGCCAAATTGGTCGAATTGCGATACGAATTGCTGCCGCATCCACCATACTCTCCGGATTTGGCCTCCTGCGATTTCTTCTTGTTTCCAAACTTGAAAAAATGGCTCGGTGGAAAAAGATTCACGTCGAATGAGGAGGTCATTGCCGAAACAGAGACCTATTTTGCAGAGTTCGACAAATCGTACTTTTCGGAGGAATTAAAAAATGGCAGAAACTTTGGGAAAAGTGTATCCTCCTAAAAGGGGATTATGTTGAAAAATAAAAAAAAGTTTTGTGAAAATCTCTTGCGTCTTCATTACTAACACGGGTACTTATTGATTTGCCCTCGTATATCATATTTAGTGATTCAAGATTGAATTATTTAAGCATTTTAAGATCTAGCTTCGACCGTATAGGGCTCTAATTTATCGGTTGTGTCTCTCACATACACGGTCTAAAAATGATATTATTGTTTAAAAACGTATGACGTTGTATCCTTACATATACCGATTATTGCGAAGAATATTACTAAGGCCTCGGTGGTCTAATGGCTCAGAACGCTTGTACGGAATACAAGAGATCCGAGTTCGACTCCCGGCCGAGGTAATATTTTTCGCAATAAGTTTAATTATAGTTTTTTCAGCATATTAACATCTTCGAAATATGATGTCTGATTGAGCTTCGAAATTATTAAAATTTAATTTAATTCGCGAAATTACTACAGTGGTTTAATTGTGTTTAGTCCGGAAATATTTCGGTGCACAGTTCGTTAGACTACAATTGTGGTATGTATATCAAGTACATATATATCATATTTAGTGATTCAGGATTGAATTATTTAAGCATTTTAAGATCTAGTTTCGACCGTATAGAGCTCTAATTTATCGGTTATAAATATATGTTGTCGACCAACCTTTACAGGAATATCGATAGTAGCCTCGCCCTCTCTGTTTTTAGCAATAATCTTGTATCTTCCCTCCTGCTTCTTTTGAATTTTAGTGAAGTTTACGACACTGCAGTACATATGCATGTCACTTTCAGTTGCAACTATAATGTTCTGTTGACTAACTACTGGTACGTCTTTATGATGCCATGTTATGTCTGGTTCCGGTATAGCGACCAATCGACATTCCAGTATCACATCGTCACCTTCATTCACATATTTCGCTTTCGGCTTTCGGGAAAATGTAGGTGGTATACCTTCTAATATATCGGCTAAAGATGATTCTCTAAACAATTTAATAGTAATAATGATTAAGGATTATATAATTAGAAAACAAAATATTATATAATGTAATACAATATAATATAAAAGTTATAATTATAAAAATTATCAGGTTTAAAACACAAATACAGTATTTATTAGATGTGTATAATTAATATTATGCTTGTTTCACAAATTGTAATTATAATAGAGGAAAATTGCCGATACTGACATAGGTCTCTTAAAAAGACGCTCTCTTTAATATTAATAACTAATTTCACATTGTACTTTATTAATATTGATAAAAACATAATTTATTT